ATAAATTGCAGTTATGCAGAAACATACAAGTTTTAATTTTTTTTAAGCTAAACAGGGGCAGTTTTGAAAGCACTGATCTTTATGACCTTGTTGACATTCAAAGGAGAGAATGGAAGATGAAGTGCTTCGTCGGCGGAGGAGAAGAGGAGTTCGACAAACGTGCCCCCAACGACGGCTTTTTTTAGTTTGAGAGGGAGAAAGGGTGTGTGTCTGGGGAGCGAAGGTTTAAGGATGGGAGTGGAAAGAAAGCAACTTGGACGGAGGAGGAGCGGAAGAGGTGAAACGTGATCGATGGTTGGAGGAAAGAAGAAGCGGTGCCACTTGGATTTGATTTTAAAACACATCAGCCATCAATTTTAATCAACAATGTCACGCCATCAAAATATAAAATACAGCTCAGCTAAACTTAACGCCGTCGGTTAGGGTAAAATTGACTCATTTTTACAAAAAGTATGACCTAATTGAGACCGAAAAAAAAACGATGACCCATTTGAGATTCTCATCATATAAATACGAGGACCATCCGAGGATTTAAACCTTTATTTCTAATAACAAATGCTTTGAAAATTAGCCTCTTAAAATTATTGTACCTGTTTACATTGTTTTTATTTTTCTTATTTCATGTACAAAGTTGGAAAAAATGTAACATGCGTTTGTTATCCAAACTCAGATTCATCACACCTGTTCTCTTTACTTTATTTGTTTTCATCCTGGATGCAGAAAGTTACGCATGGAAGACTTTTCAAAAAGAATGTATTCAATTTGAATTTTAAAACATTTATAAAATATTACTTAATAAATATTTTAAAAGTTTAATTTCGAAGAAAAATCTCAAATTGTGCTAATATCTTTTATTTGTTTGAATTTTACTTTTATTTTAAAAGTTTTGATGTAATTATGTTATTTTCGTTAATAATGTATTAATATCGTTAAAAAAATATCATGATTTTTTTATTTTTTTAATTATTCTTATTTTTATTTTTTATTTTAAAAAATTGTAACATGTTAAATTCACGACAGTGTCACTATCACTCTAGATATTATTCTCTTATGCTCAGTTTTGTTTTTATAATGTTTCAATACTTTTTAAAATAAAACAATATTATCTCTTCCTAAACTAAAATAAAATTCATTTTTTCATAAATGTTATATAAATATTTGTTTATAATATTGAACTTTATTTTAAATTGTTTTCAAATTTTAAATTTATTTATTTTAAATTTTTATAAAATTGTTTAAAATAATTTTTAGATTTTATATTTGAATTTTTAAAATTATTAATTTTAAACTAACTCAAACATTTGTATAAAAATTATTGAATTTTATAAATTTTAAAAGTATATAATTTTTTAAAAAAATTGACAAAGTTGATAAATTTATTTTATTTTATGAAATGTAATCGATAAATAAGATTTTAGCTGAAATTAATTTTGATTTTTTTTCTATTCACATTATTTTATATTAAAACCTTTAAAACAATTTTAAATAAAATTCAAAGTAAAATATAAATATAAATAAACTTAATCTTCTTAAAAAATAATTAATAAAAAATATCAATTTTAATAAAAATATTTGTATAACATTTATATAAAAATTAAATTTTATTTTAATTTTGGAAAGAAATCAAATTATTTAATTTAAAAGAAATAGGATTAATTGAAACAGAATAAAAAAAATAGATGAACTAAATTAAGACTAAGGTAATGACAATCGATGACACTATCACTGTAACATCACGCTCTAACGGTCACATAGTACAGTTTAACATGCGACAAATTTCTAAAAAATTAAAAAAAATTCAAAAATAACTAAAATATATTAAAAAAACTGGAAATTGACATATGACACATTCTAACAAAAAGTACCTGATTGCATCAATTTTTAAAAAATAAAGACCAAATTAAAAAACATAAAAAAAAATCAATTTGAAATTTTTCTACAAAAATTGAAAGGAATGGCATGATTTAACAATTTTTAAACATTAAAAAATATTAGATTATGTTTCGGTAGATACTTTTGGGGACCGAGAGACTAACCTGCTGACGCGTCTGGGCCGCTCGCTCGCTTCCAAACTCCTCCTGTTGGCCGATCGGTGTTGGCGCAAACCGATCGGTCTCCTTCTTGACGAGGGGGATGTACCTGCAAAAGGTACTCCGACGCCCAAGTTAGGCGTGTGATTTGAAGAGCCTCGGCTCTTGGTTGAATATTTAGTGAATGATTATCACTATTGAGTATTTGAGAGTCATGTAGAGTAAGTGGAACGTACCTGGCTTTTGGCCCTGGCTTTGTATTTATAATTTACCTCATGGATCCTGAGCTGATATAAGCCCAATAAAATATAAACAGAATAAGATATAAACAGATTACCTGAATATCCGGTTGGTTGTTTGTAACCACTCGGTTAATATTTTATACTATACAGATTACATTTTGTTCAATACAATACAACACTTAAGAAATATGATATACATAAAACATTTTTTTAATCCTTTATGTTTCTTCCTATATTTACCTATGTTGGTCGAGTATGCCTTGGTCTCTAGAAGGTTGACGACACCTCAGCCTGCACCAAGAAGCCAATGACTTGTATGTTACTACTGCAGTACAGATCCATGTAAGCAAAAGAACGAATCACAGAAGGATTAAGGACAAGTAAACAAATTAGGAAACTCTAAAACAAGGTAATCCTGTGAAGCCTAGTTCCAACAAACAACGTCCATCTTAGAATTATATATAAATAGTCATTGTTATGTCAACGATATTATTTGTTGCAATCTCATTATCTTACTATTAATAACTAACTTAAGCATGCATTTGCAGACTTCCCCACTAAGATCATGTAATCCTCGTCAGAAGAGAACATCTCAACATCCATAACGTAACGAAGAAGACTTGTTATTTGAAGAACAGAGAAGAATGTACACTATATTTTCCTAATACATCTTGGCTAAAATAGAAGACTAGTGTACCTTTGGATATACATGGCCTAAGAGAAACATTTGACACCCATCACGGGACCGAGTTGAATCTGCAAGCATGGTATCTATTACGAACATGGCAAGCAAATGACCTAATGACACGAATAAAGGATCGAATCCCATGTCAATGATTGCCAAGTTGTAGGAAGAACTTGCAGAATTAAGGAAATGAAGCACCAAAGACATTGAGGCAATAATTGAAAAAGAATTGAAAAAGTTCAAGAATAAAGTCAGAGTCGAAAACATGTCATACAAAAAATCATACAGGATAACACCCACGAACTAATGTCCTAACCTCTACTATCGAAAATGTCAAAATTCACCACGAACTAATTAACAATCTATTTTTTTTATTATATTATCATTGCGCAAATTATCTTTCTCTATTCAGTATATTTTCGAATTTTCTACGAAAGAAAAGTTTTCGTTTTGCACAGGTTACATAGAAACCGAAAACAAAAAATAAAGAAGAAAATTTTACATTTTCATGAATAACATATATTTTTATAGGAAGTATATTTATGATTAAAATAAAGGTTTTTCTTTTTTAATAAAAGAATATAAACAGAGATAGAATAAAAGTGTTGACATACTAACTAATATGATACTTTTAAGGAAAGGAGAATGATAAAAGCGTTCTTAATTATATTTATAATCTTCATTTTAATTTCATTTATTATTCAATTAGACTTGCTCTCTCTTTTATGTTTTTAATTTCTATATCCTATCAATTACACACATATATATAACATGAAAAAAATTACAGAGAAATATGAAATTTCTAAATATGAAAACTAAAACGCAAATAATCTTTTATCCTTTTCTCCATAAAAACACTAAATAGTGTTCCTCGGTTTTGTCAAGTAATAAAATTATGTTATATGCTTAAATTTTTGAAATGTTATTTATAAATATTTTCAGAAAATACAAAGTAAATATATCTATAACTAAAATGATTATATGCATAGATTAATTTAAATTTATTTAGATAAAAAAAATGCTTAAGCACTTTTAATATAAAAAAATAAGAATATAAAGTGAAATGAACTTTTTCGGTAAGTTACAACTAATTTATATATATAGATCCAAATAATCTTTTGAAATAAGTGGAAAAAATTCTGCACACTAAAAAAAATATCACAGTTACATATAATCAAAATTCAAAATTCGTATATAAATTTCAAAATTCGTATGTAAAATAATGTTAAATACATATTACAATCATTTATCTAAAATTTAATTAGTTAATGGAGAAAGAATACAATTTTTTTATGGAATTAAAGTCATTCTTAACTCAAAATCTCAATAAATTAAATTTATTGATCTTTTTATCTTATATGAAATATAATTTTGTCATCTTTACGTGAAATTTTTAGACTCACATCTAGGTTTTTCCAACTTTGTACAGATAAAATTGTACATAATATGGTCAAAGAAAATCTCAGAGTAGTGGAATGCATGAATAAAAAACTAGCTAAGCAATTTCACAAGAGTGACTATCACAATAACAATTAAAAGGTTTTCATGAGACCAACCATTTTTTTTATCAACTAAACAGACGAGAGCCAGTACATTCGCATGAAAGAAATAAGCACTTAAATCGATAAAAGTATAATTTAACATAATGTGTCGATCTACAACTAAAAGTGATGGATCTCACACCAAAAAAATTGATGTTGTGCAGTTAAATATACACGTGTATCTATATATCTTTTTATTAGTGAGATATTATCCATTTTTAGCTAAGTTATCAGGAATTTATTTTTTATATCACTCAAAAAATCATTTACCAATGGAAGTATTTTACATTTATATAAACCCATTTATATATTATTTTATCCGTGGAACTTTGTATCCAACAAAAATCTCAATCACCGATTACATTAAGTCAACTTTTGCTGCACACAAAATTAGGAAGAAAAGGATAAGTTTTGAAAACTCAGCAAGTTCAATATTATCAAATTAGTTTCTGTGTACACAGATAAAATGAAATTTCATGACTATAAATAAAGTTCTTTAGAAGTAATCATATCAGTTATTATATATTAATCTTCACTCATCATAACATCTCCTTCGTTGAAGAGAAAACAATGGGTGAGACAAACAGTAGTAGCAAAAGCAGTAGGTGGTCTTTGCAAGGAATGACAGCACTGGTCACCGGTGGATCCAAAGGAATCGGGTTACTATCATCTCTCCTTCTTCTTCCATTTTTTTCATTTCATCTTTTGTTCCTAAATTTCAAACTTCCCTCTGAAAAATACCCATTAACTTGTTAACTATCAACAAAATCTAGAGGAAAAAGTGCTTAACTTTCGTGTTAATTAGTAAGAATGTTTTGCATCAATAAAAGATGGTAACAAGAAGATATACAAAATAAGTGGATATTGCATGAGAATTGTTTCTAGTTGTTAATTTATCTTATGTTTGTACTACATCCTAGATATGCTGTTGTAGAGGAGTTGGCACAACTTGGGGCAACTGTACACACTTGTGCTCGAAACGAAGCTGAACTCGGCGAATCCTTGAACGAATGGACCACGAAAGGATACAGAGTAACCGGTTCGGTCTGTGACGTGACCTCTCGTCTTAACAGAGAAGAGCTGATAGCTAGAGTCTCTTCTCAGTTCAATGGAAAACTCAATATCCTTGTCAGTAATTCATTCAGTTCAATAGCATGGAGTTAAAGTTATTTTTTCAACCTTTTTTTTTTTTTAAATTAATACTGTGAGAAATAGTTCAAAATCCATTTTTTAGTTAGGAACGATTTTTGCGTTAGTGTTTTTATTTGTTATTTTATAGGATTCTGCTTACATTTTGCGCGGATTGTAGGTAAACAACGTGGGAACAAACATACCGAAACAAACCCTGGAGTTAACAGCGAAAGATTTCGCATTTCTGATCAACACGAATCTTGAATCTTGTTTCCACTTAAGCCAGCTTGCACATCCTCTCCTAAAAGCTTCAGAAGCTGCAAGTATCATTTTCATGTCCTCGGTTGCTGGTGTTGTAGCTACAAACTTAGTATCCATTATCTATAGTGCAACAAAAGGTGATTGTTCATTGCATTCCATGTGGCAGTGTTAGCTAGCTAGAGATTGTAATGGATAGTAAAAAGTAGGAAACCGTAGCTGGTAATTTGAAAAGGTATATGTAATTGGCATGCAGGTGCAATAAACCAAGTGACAAAAAATCTGGCATGTGAATGGGCGAAAGACAACATAAGGACTAATTGTGTTGCACCAGGGCCAATTAAAACCCCTCTTGGGGATAAGGTAACCTTTTTGTTTGCACTGTCAGTGTATGATTATTCTTGTCATTTGTTTTCTTTGAGGGCATGATATGATTATGTCATGTTCTTGCAGGTCTTTAAAGAGGAAAAAGTTCAGCGTGGTCTCATTTCTGAAATCCCTCTTGGACGGATTGGAGAGGCAGAGGAGGTGTCTTCGTTGGTGGCCTTTCTGTGCTTGCCTTCAGCTTCTTACATCACAGGACAGACCATTTGTGTTGACGGCGGTTTCAGTGTTAATGGCCTCCATATATTCTAGCCTTAGTTTTCACTTTTTCTCTGTCAAGTCAGTTACACTCTCATTGCATTGGTTTCTGTCTCATTTAAGAATAAATTAACAGACTGTACTTTCCTAAATTGTGTTTGAATTCACATTTAGTTGTCAATCTCGCAGTGAGAGTGTAGTATGTTAAATGTATTTTGGAATGCATCATGTTTATTGTCTGGTTTTAATAAAACACAGCGCTTGTTTTCACCTTAAAACTCAAACTTCAGTCACTCATCCTCGAGTTGATGGAAGTAAAAATCTTCATATAACAATAATATTCTGAGAGAAAAGAGAGTATAGGATTTCTCTTCCTTGGTAGCGGCGGTGGCCTAAGCGGTGGTGCAGGTGCTTGCTGTTTTTTGTGCGAGGGTGGTGCATGTTCCTTGTGTTGTGTTGCGTGAGCTCTTCTTTCAACGCGTGCAGGGTGTCAATCGGTGCGGCGCTGTTTTGGTGTGGCTTGTGGGCTTAATGGTTTCATTTCTCAAACCGCTCTGGGACGAATTGGAAAGCAGAGGACGGTCTTCCTTGGTGGCATGCGGTGGTAAAAAAGTTGTAAAGCATCAATTATTTCTAACAACAATTTTTAACAATTTTTGGTATTTCATGTCTCACTATTTTATGTGTCACTATTTTCACGAATTATCACATAAGCAATAGTAAAAAATGATTAAAAATACTTTTTCCTAAAAAAAAGTGAATTTTAAGAATAAAACAATTATAAAAAATGTATTTTTATATGTTTTAAGAAATATATATATAAGAAAAGATGATACAAAATGAATATAACAAATTTATGCTACAAGATGAAACCATTTATGTGGAAGACCGCGTCATTACTCAAAACCAAGGACAGAAGCACTCCTGTTGCTAAGAATAAATAGAGGGAGGTCTTTATTTATTTATTTTCCTATGTAATTAGTAGATAATATCCAATTATAATTTTAGTGAATAATCATTATGACAATTATATAAATCTTATATTTTTTGAAGTTAGAAGTAAATCTCAATGAATTTTCTTACAATTATAAAATATTATTATAATTAAATTTTAACCATAAAAAATTATCATATTAAAAGATGTGATATCATCTTAAAATTCAAGATACGAAAGCAAAAAACCTTTTATTCCTGAAACAGATATTTTTTCTATTATAAGAAAAGACAAATCCAAACTATTTACTGGCTTTCAAATCATAAATAAAAGTAAATAGCATTTTCTGGGCGAAGCAATTACATTCGAAACGTACAAATTATTTAGCAAAATAAAACTAACGTATGGCATGGTATTGGTATAATGGTATCTGTTCTAATTTTGTGAGGGACGGAATCTACATAAGAAACATGTTGTTTGGTTCTTCTGTACATGGTTATTGCCGGCTATTGAAAAGCCTCCACGGAGAGACTTTTCGCACGGCAACATCAGGTTAAATTTGTGGTCACCATCATCAACATCAACATCTACGTCAAGTTTTTCTTCATTTCTATACCTTTCTCTTTCCCTTCCAATCTCTCTCTCGCCTCCTCTGACCTAAGCCCTCAATTCCTGAGACGATTCTTAATTTCCAATCTATTTCCTCGGTTCCACCACCGCTTCACTTCCACTGGTACGGTTTATTTATTTCATTAATTTACCTCCGTTTCTTTTCTGCAAAATCAAATTTTGTCACGTGCAAAAATACTCATTCCCCTTATGATGTAATTGGCGTTTGGCTTCGGCACTTTCAGTGATTTTCCCAACAGGCCCCTTAATAAGTAATGCCATCTCTGTTTATTTTATTTTGATTGCACACTTAAGATTGAAGAAGTCCAATTTATCGTTGACCCGATAATATGTCATTTTTTTTATCTTATTGCTTTAGTTTGAAATGGTAAAATAATGTACAATTTACCTAATTCTGGCTGTTTCTACATAGGAATGTAATTTTGAATGCTCTTTCTGGTGTTGGTGTTGGCAATCTAACAATAGACTGAGCCTTGGGTGACTTTTTCTAAATGGTTTTCTTGTTTTGATTAGGGTTTATAAGTACCCAGATTCCTGGAGCAAATGGAAAACGGGGAAGCCCCAATCTTGGTGGAAGAGAGGATAATGCAGGAAATTGAGATACCCATTGCATCTGAAAGACTTGATGTTCTTCCTATGAAGGCAGAGTCATCGTGTTGTTCTGGCTGTCCTTTTTCTGGACATGAAAATAGTGTTGTGACATCAAAAGAGTCTTCAAAGTCGGCAAAGAAACTTTGTGGTCTTATTGTTTTCTATGGTATTGTCATGGTTGTGGAACTTATTGGTGGAATAAAAGCTCACAGCCTAGCTGTCATCGGTGATGCAGCTCACTTGCTTTCTGATATTACTGGATTCTCTATCTCTCTCTTTGCAGTGTGGGCTTCGGGTTGGGAGGCAACACCACATCAATCTTTCGGATACAATCGTCTCGAGGTTTTGGGGGCTCTTATATCTGTTCAGTTAATTTGGTTGATATCTGGTTATTTGATATATGAAGCAGTTGGTAGAATTCTTCTACAAGAGGCCAGTGTGAATGGAAAGGTCATGCTTGCTATTGCAACATTTGGATTTGTTCTTAACTTTATCATGGTTGCATGGATTGGTCATGATCACGGTCATCATCATCATCATCATCATCATCATGGTTGTGAAGACTCTGGTCATGATCACAGTCATCATCACTGCCACACAGACCATGATCATGGGAATAAGGAGCTATCTATGATAAGTGACGAGGAGAGCGTTACCCTGGTTTCAAGTAATCACAGAAATACAAATGTCTTGAACCTAAATCTTCAGGGGGCGTATTTGCATGTCATGGCTGATATGATTCAATCTGTTGGAGTGATGATTGCTGGAGCCATAATATGGGCTGAACCTAAGTGGTTTATAGTTGATCTTGTGTGCACTCTTATATTCTCTGTTTTATCTTTAAGTGCTACCCTTCCCATGCTTAGGAATATTTATGGCATTCTCATGGAAAGGACCCCAAGTGAGATAGATATCAGCAAGCTGGAAAATGGCATTAGAAATATCAAGGGAGTGCAGGATGTTCATGACTTGCACATTTGGGCTATAACTGTTGGAAAACTTGTTCTTTCTTGCCATGTAGTGGCTGAACCTGGCATAAGTTCCATTGATTTACTAGGCATGATTAAACACTACTGTGAAAAAACATATCAAATACAGCATGTAACCATACAAATTGAGTAAGGCAGATATTTTTCCTCTCCTTTACTAGTGAATAATTGGTTGATGCATAGTCATAAAATTTTAAAAAGTGGGGTTTATTCTTTAATGTTTTGACTTAAGAGTGAATTTGATATGCTAAAAGTTTAAGACAGCACAAAAAAATGTTTCATGTTTGATTTTAAGATTGCTAAGAATAGACTAGTTTGAAATTCTGTTACTCAAGACTATTATGCACAAAATCATCCAAAATTAAATAAGTCTCAATTGTTTTCCCTATCATTAATATCCCTGCTCGTTATATGTGAAGAGTGAATGAACTCATCAACCTGTCTCTCAATTTCTCCATCTATCCTTTCTTTCCCTATTCTCTTTAACAGTAAAAACAAACTCCATTACACCGAAGAGCATAATGTAGATGAATATGAAGAAATCACCATGATCCATTTAAAGCTACAACGTCGAAAGATGAGGATTTGCTTGCCTGATGTCAAGTTGGGGGTTGTCATTGTAAGCAAGAATGTAGAGAAAAGTGTAATAATTACAAGTTTAACACACAATGATCAAAACAATCTTTGTTAATGTATTGTCCTTCCTTGTCTCTACAAGCAATTGCATCTTTTATTCCTCTTTCCTCGTCACTGGTCTTCAACTCCAATGGATTCCTTATCTTATAAACATTTTTAAGTACTATTAAGCCTTATGGAGGTTAAGTTTCAATCCTTTAAGTCTTAAGTCCCTTTGAACTAACTGTTCCTGGACTAAAATGCGATCACTACGATCAAAAGTTTACTTGATCAGAATAGGATAGTCTCTGTCATAGAGAATCTTAAATGGAGTGATCCCAATACTATGATGATAAGAAGTGCTATACCAATACTCTGTCTCTGGACAAACAAAGCAAGTTTACACAAACTCCTTGACATCTTTATGGATATCCTTACAATGAAATTGAGCAAGATTCAAGCCAATGTTTTTCTAAATCCAGGACTACCTCCTATTAGTGAGCTATAAAACTCCTATACATTTAACCAAAGCTTACGAGGGAATAACCAATTTGTCTTTCCGTAAAGCAACTAATCTTGGAAAAATAAAGTGTTCACTTGTCAGTTTTGAAAATATTTGTGATAAATTAGTGGTACATGGAAAATGTCATCTACATATCACCCTCGATTGGATGGCCAATCCGAGATTCTCAACAATGTTTCACTTTTGACTCTCCAAAAGAATGGTCCAAGTTTCTTCCTTAGGCAGAATAGTGGTATAACACAACATACCATACAAGTGCTGATATGACACACCTCAAAGTTGTTTATAACTGTGTTCTCCCCCAACTACTAAAATATGTCCTTCATGGAAGATCCCATTGCTGTGAAAGGACAATTGTTGACAAGAGATGCTATATTGTAAAAGTTGAAAATGAATTTGCAAAGGACACAACAGATTCAAAAGAAGTATGCTGATAAAAAAAGAAAGGATGTGCAATTTGAAGTGAGTTTGGTCCCTTTGCCATCATTCAGAAAGTTGGGAAGGTTGTTTATAAATTGAAGCTTCCGAATTTAGGAAGAATTCATCCAGTATTCTATGTTTCTTAGCTAAAATTGTGTCACATAAATCATGATCAACCTTATGCGTCCTTGCCATCAATACGTGAGGCATTCCCGTTAAAAAATAGAATAATATTCTTGCTCCAATCACTGCTATTGTTTTTTGTGTGTTTCATTATATATATATATATATATATATACACACACACACACACACTTTAGTTAGAAAATTTAAAGGAGTGTCCATGAAACTACTAATGTTACTAATATTTATCAATTTATCCAACAGAAGACAAGTACACCGCATATATCTATTATAAAAACCACTAATATGCTGATATTTTTTCTTGTCCAACTACGTATTTTGCAATAAATTAGATTTTGTTGCAAGAAATTAAGATTCTTTCTTGCATTAATGAATTATCTCAAACAATATGGAAGTGCATTATTCTTAACCGTTATATCCACTC